CCCGCACAGCCCGGCCGCGGAGGGCGGGAAGGCGGCGGGGGCCGAGCCGCCGGGGCGGGGACGTGGAGGACAGCCCCCTGTCCCGCCCGCCGGAGCGGCGGGTCCCTTTCCCGGTCGTGGCTCTCTCTCCTCCACCCCGCCCCGCGGCGTAGCAGCCCTCTGGGCGCTGTGGTCCGGCGGTGCGCGCCCTGTGGTTTCTGGCACCCCGGCAGCTGACGGGACACCCCGGCGCTGCCGCCGCCGAGCGCGTCGGAACCCATCGGTTCTGTGGTGGACCCCCCTGGTGTGGCGTTTGTCTTGGGACATCGGTCTCGGATGCTTCCCTGTCCTAAAACGAGCTGCCTTCAGCTTAAGTGGTGCCTTAGTTGCCCAAGGCACCTTTGTTTAGGTGGAGGCTCTCATGGTGACTTGCCTGAGCAGTTTGGCTAGTCACCTCCTCGTAGTCCACTTTATCACGAAATCATGTAGGTTGAAGAGGACCTCTAACGTCATTGAGTCCAACCTAGAACTGAACACTACCCTGTCAACTAGGCCATGGCGCTAAGTGCCATGTCCAGGCTTTCCTTAAACACCTCCAGGGATTGTGACCACCCCTTTTCCGAGCACCCCATCCCAATGTCTAATCACCCTCTCTGTGAAGAAATTCTTCCTCGTGTCCAGCCTAAGCTACCCCTGCTGCAGCTTGAGGCTACGTCCTCTCCTGTGACTTGTTGCCTGGGACAAGAGACTGACCGCCCCCCCACACCCCCCGGTACACTTTCAGGGAGTTGTAGAGAGCGGTAAGGTGATACCTGAGCTGTCTTTTCACCAAGCTAAGCACCCTCAGCTCCCTCAGCCGCCTCTCATAACACTTACGGTCCAATAACTGTACCTTTTTTCTTCTCACTGTCACTAAGTAGGAACCTCATGACATCAGTGACAGGTCTGCCACAGTTATCATCAGTGCCTTCAGAGAAATGCCAGTGCTAAGCAGCTGTTTTGTCATCAGAAATCATCTTGTACTATTCCTTTCCTGTTAGGCAGAGCTCTTACAGATAGACAGGATCTGTGGTTTTAGGTGGTGGTTGAGGACATGGAGCCACACCTATGTTTACCAGTGGGTGAATGTGTAGTTCACCACATGACACACTAGAAATTTCTTATTGTAAGCTTAGTGTTGACCAAATTTTGTATCTTAACAACAATCGATAGTGAAAAAAGGCTTCTAAAGAAGGTGGAAATAAAACAAAAAGGTATAGAGCCCAGACTTTGAGGTTCCTACCAAATGTCATACTTATTTTATCTTGAAGTTACTCGAGTGCTTGCTTTATCATTCACATCCATTACCACTCTTTAATTGGAAACATTACTGTAGCTTCCTATGGTCAGCTTGTATCCATGGCAATAAATATTTTTGAAGAAGAGGCAAAAAATTCTGCTGAAACTTTCAGGGAGCTTGATATGAAAGGAGATTGGTCTTGTGTGAAGTTTGAAACGAGGGAGACCACTTCAGACACCTCTGCAAGAACACTAGGCATGAGTGAGTGTTTGACACTGTTGACCAACATATGGTTATGGTCCATCATTTAGGCTGTTGGTGGGTAAATAATAAATGGTGCTAAATAATGGGTACTGTTAATTTATGTGTTCTGAGCTATCTAGCTCCTTAGGTACTGCAGTTTCAGGAGATCTTAATGTTAGGATAACTTATCAGCCTAACAGGCTGAACATGAGCTCTGTGTTAGGATATTTTGGCTAAGTAGAAGCTGTAAGGCAATATTACCCCTATATATGGTGGTTATGAGCCATTACTGGTCTACAGTGCCCAGTTCTGCAGATGAAAAGGGATGCTGATGAACTGGAAAGATGGATGAGTTCAGAGAAAATCTGCAGAAGTATTCAGTCATGTGGAAACTGGATTATACTGAATGAGATAAACCAAATAGGTTGAGCTGCTTATCAGGAAGTGTCCAGAGGTGCTCATATCAGATTATAACTATGCACGTAAGGAAAAGAAACCAGCTCATTAGCATACAGGGATAAAGCAAGATTCAGTGACAAGAATTTGAAACTATACATTCTGAGACTAGAAATAAGGCACATTACTTACTGTACTAATGTAGCTGAAAGAATATGGGGTTAATTACGTATCTTCAAAACTTGCAAAATTCTAAGAACTGTAGCTAAGTACTAGCTAGGAAATGAAGATTCTACATAGCAATGCAAACAGAGAGCTTTTTTATTAATGTGCTTTGAGGCCTTGCCATATGTGAATGGTATCACAAAGTCTTCATGCTTCATCAGGAAAAAAGGTACTACTAAGCACCAAGCATGTTTGCAAAGTGTCTTAGTCTCTTTAGAAACCTGACTAAATACTGGGTGCTGTCTTGAGAGATTTTTTAAAAGGTCAGGTTAACCTCATTTGCACATTAGTAATTAGATGGGTTTCAGATTGGTTGAGACATTACCTAAATATTCATTGTAATATTGGTAAATAGCATTTGGGTGATGTTGATTGTTTTTCTTCAGATTTTATGTTACAGCTCTTTATAAAACCTTCATAAATAATCCATTAGCTGTACCTGTCTTACCTGTCTGAATGAATGTTGTAAATCATTCCCAGGATTTATCTGGTGCATGTGTAAGTGAGTCTGTATGCTTGTGGAAATTGGTTTTTGAACAAGCTCCCCTTCTTAGGTGTTCTGTTTCTCCATTGTCTGCTTCAGCAGAGTTTGTGCACAGGTGTGCTGTGAGTGTTTAAGTGGACTGATGAGTACCAGCTGACACAACACATAGTTTGATATCCCATGATACTGGATTGACTGCGTGAATCCTCTATTTAATCCCTGGCTGTACCTAGAGCTGCATTTTACTATTGTTGCAATTGTGTTGTAAATGAAAAAAAAAAATTGACAACAAATATTTGAAATGTTAGAATGTGTATGATGAATAGCTTTAGATACTGAAATTTGTTCTTTAGTATTCTAATATGCAGCATTCCCATTTAAGTGAATGGGAATTCTGCCTGCATAAGCAGAACCCTGGTCTGAGTAATAACAAAATACACGCTTCAGAAATATCAGATAACTGTACTCTGGATTCCTTCCCAGGTTCTTCCTTTATCTACCACTATACTGAGACATGTTATTAAGAGTTGAAATCAATGAGTGCATAGCATTGATTATAGATGGAACAAATCTGAACATAATACTTGAGCTACAAGAAACACTAAATAGGTGTAAGAATTCATAAAAATAACATGAAGTTGATAAATGCATCATAAGCTGTATGGATCTACTTTTCAATGTTAATGGTAACTCTTCTGTTCTTTTTTCTTTTTGTAAGATTGTGATCTGGGATGTGACCATAAAATTGATACTGAATATTATTCAAAATATCGCCCTGTGTAGTCATGGCTTAGTATTTTGCAGCATAGATCTGTTTTAATAGAAAGAATTTGCCTTGACTCATATTCTTCTGTTTTTCAGGAAAAGAAATGGAGCAAATTCAGTAACTATCCAATCTAACATCTGTCTCATATCTTAAGGAATCTTACAAATACTTGCTTTGAATTGAGAAAATGACTACAGTTATAGAAGAAAGTACCTGTCCAGAAAGTGGAACATCTAATAGTTAATTTGAAAGTAGTACAAAATAAATATACCTGTTATGGTGCGATTCTGGAGTGAAGTTAACCCTATAGCACACAGGTAGCTCTCCTAGGAGAAAGAAAAAAGAACTTACTGTTTCTTCTAAATTATGGAAATTTTTTGGAAGACGTGGACATGGATTTTGAGCCTAGTCATGGTTTCATCAGAATTTCACAGTAACAACAGGCTTTCATACAGTTCTCAAGGTAGGAGTCTGATCTATGTAGCTAACAAAAGCATGTATTTTTGCATTATATTTGTGTAATATTTTCTAAACCATGTTTACATAATTCATGAGCTCATCTCGGCTCTGCTCTTAGTTTTATCATGATTAATTGTCATACAGATTAAATGACCTTGTTCTAATTTCTCTCTGTTGACTTTTAACTGTAGAAAAGCCTTAGAAATTAAACCTCATAAAACATACTTGATAATATTTGAGAGACCTGCCATGATAAAATTAACATGCTTTTAGACTAGGAAGTAAGAATCTAATCTTGTTTTTACTATATAATCCTTTTCATTACTACTGTTTGTATTTTTACAAGTGGATTTTATAGCTTTTGTCTTCGAATGCTATCACTGGGGAAAATATGCCCTTCTTATGTTAGCCCCAATTATTTACATATTTTTGGTAAATAGGAAAAGATAATGGCAGGTACTAAAAAACTTCCATATTTCCAGTGATAAGAATATTAATGGGAAACCAAACACATTTTCTTGACTTAGAAAGAAAACAATGTTTCATTTTATTTTGTAAAATGCTGCATCGTGCATTTACCATATTACTCATAAGAGTGATGAAATTTACCCAAAAATGGTCTATGTTTATGCTACTACTTGTTGTTTCCTGTTATATTTTCTTCTCTTCTATGCCCACTCCCTGGACTGTCTTACCTTGTGATTGATTACAAAGAGGAATTCCTGTCTTACCTTGAACACTACCAACTAACAATCCCAATAAGGGTTGATCAAAATGGAGCCTTCCTCAGCTTTACTGTGAAAAATCCTAAACCCTCAAGAAGGAGGAGGAGCACAGACCCTTATGACCAAGAACTGGCAGCATCTAAATTATTTTTTAAACTTTCTGCCTATGGCAAGCACTTTCATTTAAACCTGACTCTCAACACAGATTTGGTGTCCAGACATTTTACAGTTGAGTACTGGGGGAAAGATGGACCACAATGGAAGCATGATTTCTTAGACCACTGTCATTACACAGGATATTTGCAAGACCGACACAGTACAACTAAAGTGGCCTTAAGCAACTGCAATGGTCTGGTAAGTCCATATTACATGTTGTAGTATAATAGTGTGCTTGTCCCTTTTAAATTACAGATGAAGAATTAAATTGGATGTCTTTCAGTTTTTTGGGTCCCTGTAGGAAGCAAGTAGAGAGGAAGGTGCAGAAAACCCCTAAAACCTGATCTAGGTCCTGGGAAAAAGTAGGTGTCAGTTTTTCAAGCTTAATATAAATACTGAGACTCAATTCGGTAATCTTCTAGCAGGCAACCTCTCTAGTGCCTGCACTAGGGTTGCGGGATTAGATATGTGCTGAGATCTTCCACAGCTATAAGAGCCTTCCAAGCTCAAGGGGCAGGGAGGAGCACACAGTGGATCCTTCAGGATACGGAATCTCTCAGAGAGATGTTGATTGCACTGAACACCCACTGTCTTTGAGTATTTGGGTTTAAAAACAAAGTAAATAAAAGAAGATTAATTGCTTGGTGTAGACATCATCATTGCTATAAATCCAAAACATAAAAAGTCTTTAGCAAATAACAGCATCAGAAAGTAATTATACAACTTTTTTACCAGAAAGATTTTGTTTACAAATTGTAAACTTTTATATTTAGAAGTAGAATTAGAAGTTTTTACCTAATTTATTCTCTTCTCTTACTGGTGATATTTTGATCACATGACAGTAGTACATGCATGGAAAAAGAAATTAGAAAATGAATGCAAAGAAGTAGAAAAACTTGAGTAATAAAATACTAAAATAGAAAGGCATGACTATGAAACATTAAATCAAGAGCCAGGGTTTTCTCTAATAAAAATATGCATATATATTATGGTTTCTCACTCTGGTTTTTATTATGGTAGAATGCTGGTCGATCTTCTTGTTATGGATAGGCATATCTAACTAACTACTGAGCTCAAAAAGAAAAAAAAGATTACACAGATTTGCTAAACTAATTCCCATTTGTCCTTGGAAGCTCTATTGAATAATGACATCCTCTTGGGATGTTACTTTCAAAAAAAATCTGGCTGTTTCAGACATATATAGGTTGCATTAGACCCACTGTTGTTCTAATTGGGAACAGCGGGAAAGAACGACACGGACTCTCAAGGGAGTCAGAACAGAAGAAATCTTCTAGTTTATTGCTCTAGGCTTGTTATATAGGTTAGTTCGTGGAAAGTACAGAAAGGAAACTCTTATTGGTCAGTAAATCACCACATCACCATCATTGGTCAGTGGGGTTCACCACCCCCTGACTTTCTCCTGCAAGGAAAACAAGGAATAGAAAACAACACCTGCAAGGCTGTTTTGTGTCCCTGATGATTGTTTTGATTCCTCCTTAAAACTTCCCAGGCTGGACTTGAGAAAGCTATGCGGCCTGTAATTTGTACAGGCACTGTGGTTCAGATTTAGCATCCATAGACCCACCCACTTGAGATATGCCTCATACAGTCTAGTTTAACATTTCAGAGAGTTCCTGAGGAAAAATATTTAATGGGGACTTCCAGTGCTAAGTGAACCCTTTGAAAAAAATGGAGTTGAATGATGTTCCATGGAGTGTGGTGTTACAGTTTGGTTCATGTAGACTTACAGCAGATAGGTGTGAATTTAGTACAATTTTCATTTTTATTGCAGTTATTATGTAATAGCTTTTTTTTTTTTTTCTGGTCATAGTTATTTGGGCTTCACAGCTAGTACACTCCATCCTTGCTTGATTTCTTTTCAGCTAAAAATATGATGGAGACCAAGTCCCTTCTTTTAGGACTCATTTATTTAAAAGAGCCTCTTTATGTTAATTGCTGCATGCTGATTGATGCACAGACAAGTTGGTCCTCTTGGAGACTGCAGTAAGTGCCATGATGATCCTATTTCAGTTCCTCTTTGACCCTGGCTAAGGGACTGAGCCGAGAAATCCTGCCTTTGCCCTAGCTGAGTCTGGTTTTCATTTCATAATAGGAAAATAAAGGTGGGATGAAGCACAAAAAAGCCTGTATTTTCCTATTGTCTTTGCCCATCTGTTGCTCCTTATAGCACTTGTTGTCTTGGAAAAATTGTAGATGTCATGAGGAAGCAGATTTTTTTTTTTTGTCTGTGCCCAACACCCTGAGGTGACATTTAGCATGTTTTCCCTTTGCCCTCAGGCTGTCCATTCTGCTGGAGTGCAGCTGCCTGTGGTTCTAGGTGTCAGTAACTTTGTGTTTGTAAGTTAACTTCAATGTAGAGTTTTCCCAGTTAAATCATAATCTTCAGTGGCTGTGGTTGTTGCCAATTCTTACATGTGTCTTTCAGGTGTTAAGGCAGCCTTAATCTAGTCTTTGGGCACACAGGTTCTTCATGCGTCTTTACTTGTGACTTCCTGTATCAGGTGTGCACTGCATCTCTTAGGAAGATTTGGTCACAAGTATGTGATGCTCCTGTGCTGCTCCAGAAACATCAGCAGGGTGACACATGGCTGTATTTCAGAGGCATAAATCCTGCAGAGGGTGCAGCAGTAGTCTTGACTTTGTACCATCCTCTACTGTACAGAAACCCTTCTGTCATCCAGTGTTGGCAGTGCCTTCTAGAGCACAGTGCATGGGAGTTCCCACTCCATTCAGATAAATGCATCACAAAGTTATTTTAAAATGATGATTCCTACTAACAAATGTTTTTTTTATACAGCTGCTGGTTAGAACATGTTTAATAAAGCAATTGGCAGTGAATGTTTAAGACAATAATACTTGTTTTAGAGTTAGAAATAGCTCAGAATGCATTGTAATTAAGACATTCATTGTATTTTCCAGTTTGATTGCTGGTCTGTAAGTGACTGCCAATCATATTATAATAGTCCTTGATTAAGATCTGTATTAAAGGCAGTCATTGTAAGTTTAACTCTGAAACAGATAGTAAGTAATATTTAATAGTGAATGTTGCTCACAAACAAAAAGTATGCAATATATTTACTCCAATTGTACTGTTACAATTCACTGTTGACAAATAGGTCAAATTTCTTCCCCTTATTGAATGTCTTGAGTTACTCTTATTAGTTATTCAGAGTGGTTATGTGAGAGCATGATTTAAATAACATATGTTGTGTGACTTTGAAGAACTCTTTTTGAGATAAGTGTAAGGAGGGTTTTCTGTCAGTTTCATTACAAAAAAACAGACAAGCAGTCAGTTCATTTCCCTATCACTGTTTCTTATTTCAGCCTCTCCCTCTCTATTTCTCATTACCAAGTGCCCTAGAATTACAGGCTACTGCTTACTGAAGTTTCAGTCCAGCAGCTTCCATCTGATTATGCTATAAATTGTCTGAAGTTATGAGGAAAGCTCTATAATCCAGTGAGCATTCATGTGAGGAAATTGAAGGTCTTGTCTTCAGGGTTTCTGGCTTCCAAATTCATGTTTACTGTAGTGGATGCTGCACTTGAGGATGGATTGCACATTTGGCTCTATCATGAAAGAGCCTACAATAAGCAGCATTTTAGGGCCTTTGGATGTTTGGTACAAGGCAACCAGGCTGAAACATTTTCTAAGCTGACTGTTTCATGCTGAAGGAAAGAAGAAAATAAATTATGTTAGACTAACTGAGGGGAGAAGAATTTTTACCTCAGGGAAATGGAGTTTGACCAACTCTGAGAGGAGCAAATCTCAGAGAAGTTCTGGAGCCTTCAGTAATAAAATCAAGAAAAACCCCAATCTTTTTGCATTCTGATTCACCTTTGTCCTCTGCCAGATGTCAAAGCTCTTAACTGAGTGCTCAAACAGGTTTTGCATACTATCAAATTTTGTAATTTTGGGCTGAAAAAGTCAGTAGTAGGATCTATTTTGAGGCTACTGTGGTCCTAAGTAAATGGTTAATGTAAAACATGCAGTATTTCCATATATGTGAAGTTCATGCATTTTGTTATGTTTGTGCTGGACAGCACAGTTACCTCCATCCAAAGAGAAATGGGAGCACAGGTAGGTGGCTTACTTTTTTCGGTGGGTAATTATTTTGCTGGGAGACTTAATGTTTGCTTCATTTATTCCTCAATACATATAAATTACTAATATTTTTCTTAAGAATTAGCTTATTTGAAAGCAAATTGTACTCTAAAGAGTGCATCCACTTTTATAGATCATAATTTACATATACTATGGTATTTTTGACTGTATGTGAAAGAATTCTGTATCAGTGACTTAAGGGCTATCTTTGGTACTGATATGTTTTTGTATAACATTAGTATTCAGGAAATTATATATGAACTGTCCCTATCCTGGTTTTAAGTTTTTGTTAGATTCCATGATGTGCTGTCTCAAGCCAGATCACTATTTTTTTAATCTTTGAGAGCACAGTAAGTTAATGCAGTCTTTTTCCTCAGTCATAAAATCATGGTGTATAGCCAGCTGTTGACGTACTGAACAACACTGACACATTTTCAGAAGTTTGCATTACTAGTACTTTATATTAAAAATGGGTAAAGCATAAAGCCTAAAAACATTCAAGGTGTTGAAAAATTGTGAAACTATAGTGCTGTGTGGAAAAGGCATGTGCTTACTTGTCCCCCATAATTCAGTTTGCTTTTGCAACTGATGGATGTCCCACATCTGAAGGAGGTTAAGGCCCTGGCTGGACAGCCTGACAGAAAAAGATTCTTTTTCACAAATTCAGGGGAACTCCATGTGGATTCACAGATTTGTCTGAGCATGTCAAACTGCTGGAACCAGACCTTGTATATGTTAGCATGAGTTGGCAGTCTATAGTGGAATTGGATAACAGAGGACCTCAAACAATCTGTTTTAGATAATAATCTTGGGAATGTTCCTTGTAGTAACATTCTTGGTGCTTTCAGCTTGTTTCGTATATCCATGGTATTATGTCAAAACCTTTTCTGGTCATTCTTATGTCTTAATGATGTTTATGATGCTTTGGAGCAGAAGTTTAATTTATGAACTGATAAAATACAATAGCAACACTTAAAAAAAAAGACAATTAATTCATTTTACTGATTTAAATGGGCATTATTTCAAACTCTTTTTTCAACTGAAGTTTTGTTTTCCTCAAATAGTGTATTATAAATCAAGGGTGGTATTTAGAATGTTGGTTTGGATATAATAGTGTACTTCCCACTATGTATTAATCAGGCATTGATTAACATTGAATACATAAACAATGCAAGTATCTCTAGCTGCATGAATTTTTGAAACTTAGAATATATGCTGGCCATCATCAAGGTACTTTTTAGTTGTAGAATTTAGAGTGCTTCTTAAAAAGCAGCGACTTCACTGTTGAATCACTGTGATTCAAGAAGATTGCTTGCATCAGTTTAGCACTGGAAGAACAATTTTGTTTGCAAGCAAAAATACTGTTAGACTTAAAATGGTATACCTATGCCAAGCTTATGGGAGGGGCATATGCAGGGTCAGTGTGTTTCCAGTGCTTATTGAATCACTTGTCTGACTGCAGTGACTGAGCACACATATGTTTTCACAACCTGCTTGTAGATCTATGTTAAAATTTATTTTCAGTTCCTTAAATAAACATTATTAAAACATTTTTTCTTAAACAGCATAGCATTTGGGCAAATGAGGTCAGGTATCAGCTAGGTATTGGAAAAAGTAATGATGCTCTCCTTATTGTTTTCACTGCTGGTACCTGAAGGAGCTGTGACCATTGTTTGCAGATATTCTTTAGTTATTTGCAGAAATATGCAATTTGTATAGAGAATTAGTGCTGCAATTAAGTGTTTATGCTTTCTGAATTGACTTAGTTCTGCTGAGGTAATCTCGCCACTTATAATTACCAGTTTCAGTAGCTGATATAATTATCTCATTCATGCTTAGACTTGCAAACATGGCTGGACTTGAGTACAGACAGGAAGGATGTATGCTCTGGAGGAATTTAAGCTGGGACCCACTCTGTCTCAGAGACAGTGCCACAGGTTGGATGGTACCTCTGTCTCCTCAGGCTTGGCATGAGTCAGACAGCCTGATGGTGTTGGCTAGAACCACTCCACAGGACTCTCTTCCTGTGGGAACATAATACCAGAGCTTACAATGGCTCAGGATTCGCTTGAACCCAGATGTCTGACATCCAGACTGGATGCAGTCCAAACTGTCAAGGTTCTTTCTGCACATCTGGCAAGCTTCGTTACAATTTGGTTTACATTTTCAATACTATTTAAGCAGCAGTATACCAGTAAATGATTTATTTCCTAGTAAAATCTTAGACTTCAAGTAACAAGAAGGCATTGCAAGAGGAATTTGATACTGGCATCTTCCAGGTGAATTTAGACCCTGATGTTACCTTCTTAGGTAACCTTGAGCTAGTTATTAAGTTAGTAATGAAAAATACCACTGAAAATGAACACTTATTTTTGCATTCAGAATGTATGGAATGAATAGTTGAAAGCTGCAGTCTATTCATACATATATTTTCATGATTTATGATAGAGTTCTATTTGGAAAACACTTGTTTCTGACATACTACATGTATTACATTTATTTTGTAAGTTCTATCTTGTTGTTTCAGAAGTGAGTATATATATATATATATATATAAATGAATATGAGTGCCTACTGTAACAGTAGGCATTTTATGTACAAAACAGTAGGACAAGAGCTTTGACCAAGAATATACAAAGACAAGCTCTGATCTTTGAAAACAGCGTTATGATTTTCAGAGCAGATACAGAGCAGGTGGTCTTATGGCTGATCATAGAGGTCTTAAAAGAAAGATTCATGTGTAATACTTGTTTTACAGGTAAAAGGTGTGGTAGGAATTTGTGATTCATCAAATCAGGATACGAATGTAGAAGTTGCTGCTTCCAGGCTTTTATGTGATAAATAGCTCTTCCCCGTGTAGAAAGTTGATACGTTCAGAATTTTCTACATTTGGGTATCAGATTTTTTTATTTAGCAAATATTGGTGTACAAGTCTGTCAGAGCTTATTCCCCAATATTTCTATATCTGAAAGGATCCAAAACCTGGATTTGCTGCTAAAGCTCAGTTTTAATTGCTGAAGGTTCAGGAAATTGCATAGTTGGCCTGAAATCTCCCTTTTCTTCCATAAACCACTTCCTGTTTGGAAGAAACTGAGTTCACAAATGTGAAAGTTATGAGAATAGAATATCTACTATTCTGCACTGCAGCACAAAGAAAAAAAATTCATTTGTTATGGAGAATGAGGTCTAGTGTACAGTCTGCAATAACTCTTATTTGCTAGATTTGTGGCAAGAGGTTTTTATGGAATAAATGCTTTTTAGACAGTGGACTTAATATAAATAATTTGATTTCTATTAACTTGCTCAGTTTTGGGATTGTGTCTGGATGTAAAATAAAAATGGTTTCTTTGAATATGTGTTCTAAAATTAATCCTTCGTGGTTTTTGTCTTTGGTGAGTTGTTTGGCTTTAAGCATCTAGCAGTGTGACAACACAGAGGGATGGATATTGGACTTGCCATTAGAGCAAGGCCATTTTGGCTTGGTGTGATTTTTAACGGGTATGAATTATGTACACAACATCTCTCTGAAGAGATTATTTATAATAATCTGAGAATATCTCCTGCTTTTTTAACTGCATCTACAAAAAAAAAACCCAGTGAAAGTACTCCACAAACAGAAGTTTGAATGATATGTTTTATTTTTTCTCACTGTATTGTTTATAGGCACCTATCCTGCTCATACTAAAATCAGCAGAGGAGGGCTGGCTCATGCAGTGTTGTATGTGTTAGCTCCTAGCTGTGGACTTCTTCACAGAGAATGTCTTTTAGAGTTAAGTTTTGTGATAGTAGTTCCATATTGTCTGTTGTAAGCTTTTATTTTCTTATTTTCTTCTTTAAGCATGGAGTCATTGCTACAGAAGATGAAGAGTATTTTATTGAGCCTTTAAGAAATATAACAGAAGATTCTAGTAACTATAGTTACGAGAATGGTCATCCTCATGTTATATACAAAAAATCTACCATGCACCAGCAACACCTCTATGATCACAGTCACTGTGGAGTCTCAGGTAAACAAGAATGAGTGTCATTCCTTTTAAAAAATGATAGCTTGAGATGTATTTTAAGATCTTGCTTGTTTCATGTTTAAAACACAGTGTAGAATGTAGCTGTAAGAATCCTCCTTCTGGGTGACGTAATATCTTGCTGAAAAGTAGTTTCGATTTTTCTTTTTTTCCAGATTCAGACTGAGATTATAGTGTATTTCAAAACCTAAGACAGCAGGAACAAGCCTTAGTTTTATGCCTGTGTTGTGGACAGTGGTAGAAATGAGCACAGGCATCCTCAAAAGGTGTATAAATGTACTTCATTCCCCAACAGGAAAGCATGCTTGAGTGACAACATATTACAGCTTAATGTTTAGTATGTGTTCCATCTCATTTGGAGAAACTTGATATGCAATAAATATGCCAGCATTATGATTGTCAATAAATTTGGAACTGAATCCACATCTTTCTTGTTTATGGAGGTTTATAGTGTTTTAGTCCTGTTTTTTAGTCCAGTTGGTTGACATTATTCCATTATAGTCAAATATGTGATTTACATGTGCCTTATGGGCAGGATTATATAGTTTTAATGGAGAGATATTTTCTTTTTAACATAGTTTTAACTTCTACAGCTATATGTTTTAGGTACTCTGATGTAACCCTTGATTAAACTGAAAATTAACTTCTCAATGACAGCGTGGAATAAATCTGACAAGTTCTTTTAGAGCAAAAAAGTAATTTTTAACATGCTAGAAAAATGTGCTAACCTTGTCAATTGTTTATATTTCAATAATAGTTTACTCTTAAAAGTTAAGTCCTAGTCGTATTCCATGACATTCAGTGCATGGGGCAGACTGACAATAACTAATCTTAAAATAAAATAATATCACTGTTTATTGATGTAATTTATTTTAGCTTCTTTTGAAGTTTACAATGTTTAGTGGCACCAGCTGTCTAAGCTTACAATATAGATTTTCTGCAAGATCCCATTCTTGGGGGATAGCTTTTTCTTGAGTGTTTCAGTTAATTGTGTTTATGGAATGTCAGATTTCATGTATGTAACTTCTGCTTTAGTTTGAGAGCATTATTCAATATATGTGCTTCTAATATTGCAAAACAAGTGTCTTAAATGTTACTGCCTGCTAACTTATTGTAAAATAAGGGTACTAGTATACGTTCATTTTGATGGGAGAGCTGCCGCTTAAGCCTCTTGAAATAAATGGAAGGTTTCGAAATGTAGGAACATGCAATTTTTACCATTATTATACCCCTACAAAAAGAAAGGATATTGGCCTCTGTTGGATCTTATCTTCTACTGTAGTGCTTGAAAGTCATTGTCCTCCAAGCCATGAAGCACAGGCAGCTACTTTTGTCAGACTGTGCTCAGGTATATCTGTCACATACATCACATGGGCTCTCCCATCAAAATGAACATATACTAGTACCCTTATTTTACAATAAGTTAGCAGGCAGTAACATTTAAGAGACTTGTTTTGCAATATTAGAAACACATATATTGGATAATACTGTCAAGTTGATTAGAGCTATATATCTTGCATGCAGTTTTTGTAAAACATGGTACAATATTTAGCATTTATTACTTTGTATAATTGATGGTACCTTTGTTAGTGGAAACTCCTGAGAACTCCCTGAGCTTTCATAGCCCAAAGTTCTTAATTATTGAAGTACTAAAGCACTGCTTTTTTACAAGCCAAAGATTATTATGATGCTCATTCATCTTTTCCTGTTGTTCTGTATACTATTTCCACTCTATTAAAATGTCTAAAAAAATTTACTCTCTGCCAAGACTGCAAGGTCTTGCTTTTCCAGATGACGTTCTGTTTTACCCTTGTGAGTACCAAAGCCTTTTAAACTCATTTTCTCAGCACTCTTGCAGCTTTGTCTTAAAGGGAAATGGCATACAAAGCATCCTGAAATACCCCCCCAAAAATTATAATACTTAAAAAGTAAAGTCAAATATTAATTTTCCATTTCGCAGCTTTCACACCGAAAGATTAAGGCCAGGTATTCAGTGATGTTTAGGGAATTTTACTGGTTTTGGAAGTTTTGAACAGTACAATTTTGTGTTTTAAAATGCAATTGTAACAAAGCTGTAACTACCTTTTGGCAGTATGTGATTTATTTTGTCTGGAGACTGATTTTAACTTTACCTTCAGAATAATTTTCTTAGTATTATATGCAGGGAGGCATCTGCTTGAGTAACTGTGCCACTATTCATTGTTTCTCAAGTTTCCCGTACTGTAACCTAGTTTATTTTGTACCTGTTCTCCATTAGGGAAATGGTCAGGATTTTGAAGTGTTGATAGAGTCAAGGGGAGTAAAATTCCTGACCTTTCCGAGAAAAATTACAATAATAGAATGGAAAGTGGACTACAGAATTTGGTGAAAACACGATCAGAATTGACTGGGATGAGTAAGTAATGGGCTACTTCATAATCAATGGTGTAGCTATTATGGTAGCTAATTATTATTTAATTATAGTAGCTAATACAAGAGCAAAATTGGAGAGGCATGGAGAATCAGATGAGAGCACAGGATAGATTTTCATAATATAAATTAGATTTTAAGCATTTAAACATAAAGATGTTAAAATGAAGCATGTGGAATTTGCATTTCAGGGATATATTGTCACCAGTTAATTATGTTTCATTAAATAGAGCTGAAATCACTAAGGCCTTGCTAAGAAGTTTTCCACTGCCAAATTCCAATTGCTTCAATGGGTTTTGAGACCACTGGATTATCTTGAAAAATGCTGTATTTGAATAGGATTAAGAAACAACAAAAATGGGACATATGAAAGCTGCTGAGTGGCAGATTATTTCTGGATAGCTCTACTATTTTTTGATTGATGTAGTGGTTTCACTTGTGTCAGACTTTGTAGTTGGTATATTCTAAAATGGAATAAAAGCTTGCTAGATGCATGAAATAATAGTGCTAAAATATCTAGAAAAAAAATGGCATAATGTTTTGCTTTGAAATATTGTTATAGCTGCATCTAATATAAGAAGTTTGCTATTGCATTTTAAGATATTTTTCTGTTTGTGCTTCTTTCTCTCGACCTTGACCACTACTCAGTATCTTCGATGACTGACTTAGGAAAACTTGTGTCCAGTAGTTGTGAACTCCATGTCTACATGTGTTTGGATTTCTTTTCAGTTGCAGTTTAAAATCTAATGTCACCCTTTAGGAATAATTATTTTGGGGTCAGTTATGGTATTTTTTCCGAGTTTTTGGGTTTTTTTCCTTTTCTATTTATTTTTATTTTTACCTTTTTTTACTTCCTTATTATTATGTTCAATGTTAATGGAGTTTAATTTTTTCTTTTATAACTTATGAATTTGGTGAAAGAATGATGTAAGTTGCCAGATAACTATTTTCATTAAATAAATTGTAGATCTTTATTCATTTATGTATTTTAACATTTAAATAATTTAGGCACCATTATTTAGTGGTTTTTTAAGAGAAAAGCAGCATAAGCTTTGATACATCCTGGAGTGCAAGGAATTTTTCCAGCTTTCTTATTTGAGATCAACTGAAGCCTAAGCTTCTTTTCTGATAAGAAAATGAGAAATTGTTCTTGTGGAGTCTTCTGAGACCTTTGTTTGAAAGATAGTATGAAGACAATTCTGAAGAAGCCTTTTTTTCCCTCTTAAAGTTTTATGCTTGAAAAAATAAGTTTTTAAATGTTTAGAATAATTTGCATTTTGAGTGAAAATTTTGAATTAATGTGGAAGCAGTACTGCCTTTTTAAATACTTTTAGCACTCCAGGAGCATCAGAAAACATCAGCATTTGTTATTTGAAAAAAAATGAATAATTAAAATATTTAGTACAGTAGCTGTCAGAGAAAATTCCAGACATTCCTAAGTCACTGTTTAAGTGAGATGAAAATCTTTGAACAACTTAAGCAACTTTGAGTTTTCTACAGTAGACGTGAAAAACAGGAGAAAGCTTAGTAGTCATTATAGAATCCAAACTAGGCTTTAATACTTTGTACAGGGTTTTTTTAGAATGGATTATACCCATTACAGAATAAGGACAATTTTGTTACTGGTGTTTTTATAACTACCAGGTTTATTTTAATTTTTTGACTTTTCTAAAATATGCACCCTTTAGAGCCAATACTGTAGCCTCAAAAATTATGAAACACTGCAACAGTGGGAATGCCGAAGGTTTGTATTCCTGGTTTTGACCTGAACATACATTCTTCGTGGTGTAGTTTTTCTCTTTGAAATCAGTGTGCTTAGTTGACTTGCATAAGCATTTTTTTTTTATGGGAGGTTCTATCTGTAGTCATCCTTAGCTGACCCTGTTTTAGTAGAGGTAACAATTCATCTCAGAAATTGCTCACTTGAGCAGTCCTGTTCAGACAGCTATAAATGTGTCTATTAATGTTCTTGTGCTCATCTGTAAATACCAAGAATAACTTAAGATATTTTGAAATCCTACATAGATAAAACCAGACTAACAATATACTTCGCTAAACTTTGGCTTGAGATCTATGTTGGCTCTTGTGGAAAAGGGATATATGATAGACACTAAAAAACCTATAAAATTGAATCCATCCTTCCCTTCCTTTGTAGGGAAGGATGGATTCAATTTTGGCTTGAGGACAGGAATTAGAAGTCAAAGCCATCTTGTAATGTTTGTTTTGACGATAATTACAGCTCTTTGGATTTTTAATAATTTATCTTTTGCACACAAGAAATATTTTTCTACATATTTGCCTGAAAGAAAAACAAGAATCAACATATTTGAACAGAAGTTTTTGTTGAAATTACTATGGCAATTATCCCATGTCAGACCATTTAAAACTTTCTATTACAGTTAATTCACAAGGTAGATAAAATATAATCTGATAGCTTTCTGAAGAGAAAAATTGATTCATTTTAGGCTTGTAAGCTTCATTGCCTAGAAATTATAGACTTTTGCAAGAGGGAAAGAGCTTTTTTGTGTTTTATGAGCATGTTTAATTCCTTAGAAAATTTTTCTGACTTTACATTAATTTTGAATTTTTGGTTTCTAGTATTTTTTTTCTTGTTCTTATTCTTAACATTCTGACGTGTTCTTGTGGTTAATTATACCTAATCCTTAATAGTAACATAAATATGCAAATTCAGATTTATTGAGAGAGGATTGTTGATTTATCATCCTAATTCAAATTAAAGGAGAGTTAAGATTATTGGCACTCAAAGCTGGCTTTCCATTGTATAAGTTATTTAAAAATATTTTAGAAAATAAATTTTTCTTCACATTGAGAAGGACTTCTTTGTTAGAACCTTGAAGATGGCAATCTCAGCATAAAAGAGCTGCATATGAATGAGTTTTACTAATGACTCCCTCTCACGTATCTAATTGTTTTGGTTCCTAGAAGACCTCACAAGAAGCGGCAAGCCTTGGTGGATGAATGATGCATCTGCTCTTCCAGCTTCACTTCCAGTCAATGACACACTAAGTAGTCATAGTCGTCAGAAGAGATCTGTAAGCCTTGAACGGTTTGTGGAAACGCTGGTAGTAGCAGACAAAATGATGGTGGGATACCATGGTCGCAAAGACATTGAACACTACATTTTGAGTGTAATGAATATTGTAAGTTTCATCCTTCTCTGTGTTCCTATCGATACGTGTGTACTGAAATGATAATGGACCTGGCAAGTGTTTATTTATTGCCATGAATAATACTTTAATATGGGTACTAGCTTGCAGGAATGAATAGCTTAAATACTGAAAATCTTAGCATTTTGGGAAAAATGCAGTACTTTTTCTGTCAAGAGGTATGTTGTGATCACTTTTAAATTGTCTTTAATTTTGAATTCAAATAATTACACTGAGATTATACAGTTGTGTTCTGCTTACATCACCACTCCAAATGCTCACTGTGCTGGATGAATTATGAAGCAAGGTGTAAACAGTTTCAATTGAAAAGTGAGACTCAAAAGGTTTTTTTTTAACGGAATGGTTATTTTTTGGTCAAAAATTAACTTGTGTTTAGGTGACAATGAGATACTTTACATTATGGAACTTCATGAGGAAATTGGATTAATTTTTAACCATTTAGGAAGCAAGTAGTGTTTCTTGTCTGACTTTGTGCCTTTTCTTATTTTCTGGAGGTCAGGTTGCCAAACTTTATCGTGATTCCAGTCTAGGAAACGTTGTGAATATTATAGTGACACGTTTGATTGTCCTCACTGAAGATCAGGTAAGAGCTGTTGTGCTAAGCTTTATACCTGTGAAATGCAAATTACATAATTGTATAATATAGAGTTATTTAATTATAGCTTGAAGTGGCTGCCTTACAAAACCTATCATGTAATTTTTCACTACTTTAATCAAGACGAAGCAGTTCAAGGGAATATTCCTCGTGTATCATCTCAAAGATATGTATTCTTACTTCAGGTGACTATTATTACACCTTCGGGGATGTCAGTTTTATTTTTAGATCTGTATTTTGATTTTTTTTACTGTGTTGACAAAATGATTATTAAAGTTGGAGCAGAAAGAATGATGGTTCAGTAATACACAGCTGAACTTGGGGTCAGATTTTACAGAAATAAAATTTGGCAAGAAGATTTTATTCCTAGAAACCACTGCTTCTAATTATAGTCCCATTTTAGTTTTCAAAAGGCTTAACAACTGACCGTAGTAATTTGTTTGGAACATTTCTGGTATGCATGTTGTATTGCAGCCAAACTTGGAGATAAACCACCATGCAGACAAGTCCCTCGATAGCTTCTGTAAGTGGCAGAAATCCATTCTCTCCCACCAAAGTGATGGAAACACCATTCCAGAAAATGGGATTGCCCACCATGATAATGCGGTTCTTATTACTAGGTATGGTCAAGTATTGTGTTTATTTTATTTCTTGTAGCTTTCTTGTTCTTAGCATATATATGTCTAGAAGCTAGTTGCAAATAAATATATTTGGTAGGTAACCTTAAAAGGAGGAAAATTAATAGACAGCTTGTCTTAAATATATCATATTATTGAAGTTTGGATTAAGATTTTGGAAAAGTAAGCTCTGCAAATCACTTGCTTCTGCTGTTATTTTCACTTTGTAATTACCAATACAAAGTATTGTAGTAGAAAAGATGGATCCTATTGAACATTTTATACTTTAATAATTGGAAAGAATTCATAAGATCACAGAGAATAAAACAGAATGAAAAATGTTTTGTTAACCATGTAAAGTGTTTTTGTAAGAATTTCAAGCCAGAACTTCAAGTAGTATAACAGTATTTCTCTGAAAACAGGTTCTTGCAGATTCCAGCCATATGAGACTCTGCTTTGTAGCTGGTTTGATTTATTATGCTTAATTAAGATGAGAACTGACAATTTTAACAGGTAGTTTCAAAGCCTGCATATGTGCCCATTTGTTTGCTTCTATTTCAATTTTACTGTGATAAATTCAACATAACCTGCACTGTAATCTCGTGATCCTGATAAAGGCATTCATGTCTGTCCCTTTGCAATTTGGGGTAGGCAACTGTACTTTAATAAGAAATAAGTCTCACTATTGTTTAAGGACACTATTTATTCTTTTTTGTTTTGTTCAAGTAGCAACAGGTGCAGCAGCTCTAATTTGGATTAGGATTTGTTAATTATGATTTCTGCTTTCCAGGGCAAATTCTGTATTGCTCTATATGTAACCTATTTTGGAATCATTGCATTCACTGCAGAAAAATTGAAATATTGATTAAAATAATGCATCTTTAATATAATTTTGCATAAATTTTGTGTAAGTTTCTCTGTTTTCCTGAGGGAGGTGGTGTTTTTTCTTGGTTTTATTTTTCATAATGAACAGATATTTTTATTTAGGAGTGGAAATAGAAGCTAGTGGATCACTTGCATGTATTTTGTATTCATATTTCAGAAATAATTGTTATGTATGATCTTAAATACTGCATAGTAAAAATTTGAGTGACTATGCTAGAATGCTAGAGTGACTTAGAAAGCTTTTAGATTTCAAGAAATGTAAAAAAAGCGATTGAACTCTAATACAAATAAATTGAATGAAATGAAAAATAAAATAGTTGCATTCTTAGCTCTTAATTTTTCACAAAGACTTCTGTTTGTGATCAGTTTTGTAATTCCTTCGCCAGGACTTTTGAAGTGGAAGATAAGTTTACAGCTCTGCTTAACATGAAACTTTTACTGGTATAATTTAGACAAGTGAAAAAGTGTAATCCATGGGTAGTGTGGTTGTGTCAGCTGAAGCTCCTCAATACACAAATGCTTAAGTTGTATTGGCAACTCTGTAATTTTACAGCTTACTGACCTGACACTTTGTTGGCATTATTCTGGCACTAAAAATCACAGTTGTTTTTTTTCACAGCTGTGCTTTAACATGTTTTATTACTGTATATTCTGTACTGGCTTTCCTGATGTGGTAGGAAGTTCCAGTGGGATGTTCCCATTGTAGTTCTGAATAGTTCTGTGTTTCCAGACAAAACCTTAAGCCAGTGTTAACTTACAGGCCTCTAACTGTAAAAGGAGCAAGTTTTGAGAGAACATGAGTAATACCTATCCAAAATTACATTTTTTCATCAAAAACCAATAAATACTGAAAACTTATTTTTTACTCTTCATTATGGGGTCTATAATTATCTAAGTACATAGTGTATGTATGCCATCTTGTAAGAATGTAAAAATTCTTGTAAGAATTTTATAACTTCCTAGTTTTCTTCTAAGAAGTTTACATCTCTAATAATATACCTGTATTTTAAATCAACAAAGTGCCTCAGTGTTGTATCTGCAGGCTAGTAACACCTACCTCTATAAAGTTCATTTATATATGCTTTCACAACAAAATGCTTCTATTCATTTATTTATATAATAATTGTAATTCCTTAAAATAATCACAAAGGCTGCACTAATCAATTTGAGTTGATAAATCAAGCTTTTACTGAAACTGCTGGCTATCCTGGCTGTTACTAATAATATGAATCAGCTTATGTGAAGAATAGATCTTTTTTGCATTGGAATGAGTAAAGACAAATTTATATTAATATATATAAATGTGTAAATCCACTAACTTTAGTAATTCTAAATTAATTACTGAAATGATTATATACTTGTTTTCATTCTGTTGTAAATCTTTCACTTGAACCAGATTTAAGGCATATATGTGGAAGAAGGATATAGCTATGGCTCTTTAAACTCATAATGTATTGGAGAGGTCTTTAATAACCTTGTATATCCAAAGGAATTTGAGCCTATACTACCAAACATTAGGATACTTTTTAGCCACTCCAGTAGTATTTTGAAAGCAGTTTCCTGAATCTGTCCCACTGATGCTGCTCTGCTTTGTACGGAGTAATTACATTTTTATTGACTTTGACACTGGAATCAATTTTTGCTCATTGTGTGTACTTCTATTTTATGGAAAATAGGAAAGTTTCAGTTCAACATTATGAATAGTTTTGTGTTGATTAAAACCAGATTTTTCAGTAAGTAATTTGATGTATTTGAAAATATTACAGAGTCCTAGCTAAGTATTTTAAGTTTGCAACTACAACAGTCTTTATCTGAAATGTGGGGCAAAGGTTATAAGAAAAGGAGTCATTATCTTCAGCTGTGTAGATGCAGATAGCACTTTAGCTTTTCTTTGCTATCCTTTCATGTTGCTTTCAAAGATGGGATCTGGGAAAAACAGTATTAAGGCTGCACATTCTCTAGGAGTGTCTGCTTCACCAATGCAGACAGAGTTCTGTATCCTAAACACACTGTATGCCAAAACCAGGTAGCCTCACTGGAGTGGAGGTATGTCAAAATTGATCTCTTAAGCCCCACAGAGGCGTTGCCATGCCTACTAAGCCACCAGTCTTTGGACAAGAGCCTGCCTGTGTTTGGTGTGCCTGGTGTATGGGCCTATCTGATCATGGTCCTGCAGCCACCCTGCAGTCTGCTAAGTGGGTAGGGAACTACAGAGAACTTCTTGTTTGCTAATTAAAAATACACAGGTTATAGACTGGTCTAAGTAAGACCTTATATTGTGTATCACCTACATTTTTTCCTGTAAGAGATTATATTTAAATTTCAGACTTCAATGTTTTGTCCTGAAATTATCGAAGTTGGGCTCTTGGGGCAGGGAAAAGTAAAATACTAAGCAGACAGACTTGAACTGTGAGGCTGATTATTGGTGTAATGCTGTTAAGACTATGTCGCCTTTTTGTCCTGAAGATTTTAGATAAACCTAGTGAATCCTCAAAACTATTTTGCACTACAAAATGAAAAAAAAAGGAGAAAAACTTGTATGTGTCTAATCTCAAATCCTTTGATAAAAAAAGAGCTCTTGCATTTGATTCCTATATTTCTGCATCATTATGTGACAATCTGGCTTTTCAGTGCAATGCCAGAATGTCAGATAATTAATTTTACAAGCCAGTGTAGATTCTGAGACTTGTGCATCCCACCCCAGTGTAGAGGTATCAATCTGCATTTTTGAAGTTCTTATTTGGTGATTTGGTGTTTTTAACCTTCCTTAGTAGGCTGCTTCCTCTTTTTGTTTCTTCGGAAATAGTGTCTCCATGAATTACAAACCCACAAAACTCAAGCACTATAGTGTACAGCTATTGCTTTATTTTTATTTATGCTTTTGAACTATGTTCCCCTTCCATTTTAGTTAGTTGCTTCCTTCTCTTGATCTTAAAGGTCATGAAGCAGGAATTGTGATACCCCTTAAAAGCACCTTCATTAACTACACATTATGAGCAGAACCATTCCTTTTCCTGTGTACCTGCACAGAATGGTAAGGGCCAGAAGGTTGGATTCTAGGTTACACTTTGTATCAGGATTGAGAAGGTGAAGAATTTTTTGAGATGCCTTTTGTTTCTCCTTTACACTGGAAGTGTACTCTAGTGCTGCATTTCTCTATAGCTCAAGAGGATTAGTTTGATTTGTCCAGGTACTACATAGTTGTCCAAAGGATGTGTGGCTGACTCTCTAAACATTGCAGAAGTAGAGTGTTTTGCTGCTGAGATGGAAGATTACTTTACCTCCTGGTGTGTTAGTAGATCAAGTAAAAAGGTGTACCAGACAGGCCATAGAAAGGAAGGTTTTAGGGGGAAGTTCAGGTGTGTGTCTCTCAGGGAAAGAATGTGGCCTGTGAGATGCAATTGTTTAAAATAGAGAAATATTGAAACCTCAGTCATTTAAGGAGACGGTGCTTCTCAAAAATTGTTGAATGAAATGTCATCTACTGTTGGTAGTTCACACACCATGAGTTTGTTTTACATTTTAAAAGAAAAACAAAGTCACTATGCTTGACAAAAGCATGAAGATGTCCTTGCAGCTACGGTGCTTTTATGGAAACATTCCTTGCAGAAAACTTACTAGAATTAATTTTAAGACTGTAAACCTGTGTGGTTTTATGTAGATACACCTTCTGAAATTCTTGACTTAAAAGACCTTGAAATACAATAACCTTTTACTTGGATTGAAGTTGCCTGAGTTAAGTTCACAAGTGCTTTAGCAACAATTAATTCCACAGCCTCACTGAACTGACACATTCTGTTGTAAGGATCCTTGTTTGATTGAACGAAGAATCAGAGCTGTAGGATGTTTTTATTGATAAAGTCAAATATACCTTGATTTGCAGGTTGTACTGATGAGAGTAAAAATGTATTAGTATGCAGCATTTCTCTAGCAACACTATTGAAATCCGTATGGGAGGCATTAGTATTGTTTCACAGTGGATTTTTCGAGTTTTTCAAGGTGAAAATTTTACAGAACAGGTTTATGTTTACTGTATATACATAAGATTAATTTCACAATGCTTCAGTCAGTTGTTTTCTCATTCATGTACCCTTATGGGTAAGGGGCACTTTCATTTG